TGTTAGCCGCCCTGAGCCCATGTGGAAGGGCAGGATATAAGTATAATAAATAAATAAATATAAATAAATAAATAAATGTAGTTAAGTATTTCCCCCAACTGGAAGCCTGAATTCTGGATGAATGCTGTGTCCAAACTTCAAGCTATCACTGCTGCCCCTCACCTGAATGCAATGTAAAGATACCTCAAGCAATGTTCCCTCTAAGCTGTGGAGTTGTGTGAGCAAAAAATCTACTTTGTGAGCTACTGGCATTAAAGTTGTGAGCAAGTGATTTGGCTGCTGCATGAATTAGTTTGCTCTGGAGCCATCCTTCCTGAGCCAAGACAAAAATGTGTGAGCTGGAGGCTAAAGAACTGTGAGCTAGCTCACACCAACTCAGCTTAGAGGGAACACTGACCTCAAGTATGACATACTGGATAACTGACACTGAAGAGCTAGCACAAGCGGAAAATGTAAGTCAAAAAGCAAGATTCTTCTCCCCTTATAAAACAGTAACCCCTAAGAGATCAATAAAAAGGCTGCAGCTTTTGTAACACAACTTTGTTGTGTTTGCACAGTCAACTTGTTAGACATTGCCTGTGTTGCAATAACACAGTCACAGCCTCTGCACACTACTGAAAGCAGGTGGCTTGCCAAATCAGACATTCAACAGACAAAGTACCTGAACAACATAGCTATGGACTCCAAGCAATAGTTTTGAATGCCTCATTAAGTTGTCTTCTTCCTTGCCACACCAATGCCAACACCTCTAATTTGTACATACTTGGAAAACATCTCCAACCCATCTTCACTAACCCACTGCCCTTTTTCATTCAGTCCCCTCTGTCAATATTACTGCCAAATAACTGCATTTGCAAACAAACCAAATAATTCAAAATCAATCTTAAATGGCCCTTGCTCTAGCTATCCAAGGCCAATGACAATAATTTCTGGGCAACCAGACAGGAAGTCTTTTTTTTTTTTTTGCAAACTGAAAGGAAAGTTCCTTTGTGGTTGATGCTGCTGCTATCTGCTCCACCTACATGGCCTTAAATGACTAATGTAGGTATGTGTAATCAGATAAGCTGGTTGAAATTGTTACTGGCTAGAAATCATGTCAAATACGTGGAAGAATCTATTCATGGATTCAAAATACAGTAATCTTCCTTCTATATAACCCTAATTTAACCTTACAGCTGTCATGTTGTTATAATTACTCACACAATTAAGGTGGACAGAGAGAAAGGAAGCACACTGTTCCCAAAATGTATGATTGACACTCAACAAAGATTGACATGCAATTTGGACATCATAAACCCTACCCTTCAAACCATGGCTTGCCACAGGCTTACTTGTCCCCTCCTCGCTCTTGGGCTTCTGCCTCTACTTCCTGGTTTTCTCCAACCATAGTTTGCCATGGCATCCAAGTAGACAGGTGATGAGGTCTTCCTTCAAACCATGGTTCGCAAGGCTGCTTCAAATCATTAGAAGCCACAGTTCGCAGATTCAGGTTCAAACTATACACTTGGATTCATTAAGAAAACCCCATTATTTTCCAAATGCAGTAACATGGCAGATACCTACCTACCTATAGCAGCAAAGCAAGAACCAACCTTATGAATCTGATGAAATGGGCTCTAGTCCACAACAGCTTACGCTACAACAGTTTTTTTAAAAGGTGTCGCAAGACTTCTGAGAACTATTATGGTGTGATGGCTACGGAGTCAGACTAGGATGTGGGGGAACCTGGTTCAAATCCCAACTCAGCCATGAAGTTCACTGGGGGGGGGGGGCTTGGGACAGACAGGCTCTCTCTCAGGCTAACCTACCTCAGAGCTGTTGTGAGGATACAATGGAAGAGAAGACAATGATGTTGTAAGCTGCTTTGGGGGGTGATTAGGGAGACTGTGATATTTTGTTGTTGTTGCAGACTAACGTTTACATTGATTTCTCCACAAAGAACTGCAAAACCCCTCTTATAGAAACACAGAGCTTAAGGCAATGCTTTGCACATTTACTCTAAGCATATCACGATGGGTCTTTCCATAGAAGTTAACTGGAATTTCTAACATTTTTATCCCACCCTTTCTCTAAGAAGCTCAGGGTGGCACATTTAGTTCTCACTCAGACCAGGAGTGACTGACCCAAGATCACAGAGTGAGTTTAGTAACAAGCAAGAAACCTGGGTCTCCCCGTCTTAGTCCAATATTCTCACCGCTAGATCACACCACTACACACACTGTTCATTAGTACAGGGCTGACTCAGTATAGGGTACAGTTCTTGACATGCCGATATTATTCCATAATGTTCTTCAAAAAAGCAATGAAGTCTTAGTAATACAAGCTGAGCGCAGCTCCTAAACTAGACCTCATTATAGCCTTTTACGATTAAACCATCCCTGAAAGGTGGGGCACACCCAATGTCCTATTATGCAAGTTATTAAGTTTGTGGCAAGACTTGCTTAACACGGCAATTTTCTAATGCAGACATTTCAAGACACTACCCCCTTGAAGGGGAACTATCACCTCAAGACACACACATGCTTTTAGTACTCTTGTGGATAATTGGGTAGCAAATCCAGTTCCCCCATTTCATCTTAAATACACACGCGAGCCTCTACCATTACATATTATTTTCTGCTAATATTATACTAAAGAGGTATGTATATTTTGAGTATTCCTACCTAGACTGGCTACGAAAGAGAGAAAGTCTTTTGGAAATGGAAATTCTTCAGTGGCTGCTGAATGAAAAACTATAGAAAATGTAACATATACATTCACCTGTCCCCTCTCTGCATTTTTCATAGATGTGGCATTCCAAGTTAAAATCATACAGTCCTGCTTCAACTAGTTCATATGTCACCTAAGCCTGTTAAATATTCTTACTCATTTTATGCAATCCCATCTAATCCTCTTTGGCTTCACATACCTTGATTTCTATTAATGTTAATCCTGCCACCTTCTCTGGATCTTTAGGCATCACAACACTGATGCATAATCCATTTCAAAATTAATAACTGATTCCTTTTGCCTGTTTCAAGTCTCCTCATCTGACATTTTTCACATACCAGCCAACCACCTCAGAAACAAAATAACACCACTCTACTTCTATTATCCCTCCCCTCCGCCCAATTTCATATCCCTTCATTTGAAACAGTGGCCTCCTGAATCCTTGAGTAACCACTGGTTAAAGTGCTGCAGGTCTTCACTGTTTAGTACTAATGTCAGCAGAAGCAGGATTATTGTAAGAAATTCCTCAGATTGTTATGAATGCCTATGTAGTTTGTCTCAGGTGTGATTAAACACCAAAACTACATACCATAAAACTCCACACCCTGGAAATCCTAGATGCCATACACACCTAGCACTGTGTTTTATGGAGTTTCATGGGTATTACAATAGCTTTGTTAGAAAGGCTGAGGCTAGTAATATTTGAAGATGAATGTGTTTTCAAAACCAAAGATTCCAAACTAAGCCCCGGTAACTGACATGATCACCATTCCCTGCCCCCCAACTGATTACACAAGAATGCCATTACTCACCAAGCTTCAATCTGGCAGCACCAAAATGTGTGCATTGTCTCTACCTTAACCAAACCATGTCTTTGCTTGTTGACTGAAAGTATACATGTGCATTCTGCAGACTGTGGTTATGTTCCTCTGACAAGAATGAGACACTGGAGCTCCTTTAAGTCCCATCCCCCCCCAAATAGACCTCTGCAGATCCTTCTCTCCAAGAAAAGAGCAGGACAGGAAAATAAATAGCTGAAGTGTACTACGCACTGTATAGACTACGCACTGTATAGTTTTTTAATCATGAAAGCATCAAGGGCAGTTCAATGGTGGAATCGACTGCCCAGGGATTTTGTGGGTTCTCCCTTCATGGAGGTGTTTAAAGGCAGATTGCAATATTTTTTTTTGGTCAGGGTACTTTAGGTCATCCTGCATGGTGAAGGAAGTTGGAATGGATGGGTCTTAGATCCTTTCCAACTTTTTAATTTGATGATTCTAATATTGCAAAGGCCGTTCCCCACCACCACTTCTGAGTTTTCGAGAATAAAACAGGAAAATTAGAGGAGAAACCAATAGCTGGGCTCCATGGTCAACAGTTCAAAACTAGAGCTTGGAATTTATACTTCAGGATAATGTATGCTTACTTGGAGACTGAATGAGACCACCCCCCACCCCCCAAGTGTGCATGCACAGGACTGCTGCCAGGAAGACCCGGTCCTTGCCCCGTTGCTTGGATCCAGACTTGGCCTCAACCCTTCTGACATCTGGAGTGGTCACCCTGTATCCGAAATTCCCCCGTTTCCCTCGCCTTTCAAGGGCTATTCGGCAGGGGAAGCGTCAGCCCTTGCCACCCTTTTAATCACCCCGATGGCGGGACGGAGTCGCTGCACGGTGTCACTGACAGCCCGATCCTACGCCGGACTGCGCGGAAGTCAGCCCCTCCGGGTCCAGGGGGCCTTAGTCCCAGATTTTAAAAACCCGCCAGGGGCTTACAGCTGTACACGGACTTGGGAGTTAGCCCAGGGACCGCAAGGATAACGCCGAAGCCTCGCAGGCTGGTTGGGCTTTCCCCCCCCCCCCCAACCACCACACACACACAGGCAACGCTCCCTCTAAGCTGTGGAGTCTTGTGAGCAAAAATCCTACTTTGTGAGCTACTGGCATGAAAGTTGTGAGCGAGCAATTTGGCTGCTGCATGAATTAGTTTGCTCTGGAGCCCTCCTTCCTGAGCTGAGACAAAAATGTGTGAGCCGGAGGCTAAAAAACTGTGAGCTAGCTCACACTAACTCAGCTTAGAGGGAACCCTGCACACAGGTAAACTCCGCGATCGGGCCGGGAGTAGAGAAAAAGAAAGCGCCGCCCTTGGCTTCGAGGCGCGCAGGCGAGGAGAGCGAGCGAGCGCCCCATCCGGAGAACCTGTTTGGCAAGGTGATCGCGAGCAGGGAGCCAGGGAAGCGCCGCCGTCCCCCCCACCCCCGCGCCGCCCCCCAGGCCCCGGCGAGTACTCACAGGGAGTGGGTGAACGCGCTGAGTCCTTCGGGCACGGCCGCGAGCCCTCGCCCGGAGCAGTCGACCCCGCCGTCCCCATCGCAGCTGCAGGAAGCCGGGCACGGAGGCAGAGACGCGCCGCCGCTGGGCCCGACCGAGCCCCCGAAGCCCCAGACGAAGAAGCCGAGCAGAGCC